GTCGTAGATGTTAGTGTTGTGTGTGCAACACTACATCTTTTATAGATTTAGGATCTAAAGGTGGAGGGTACAAGTGTACCTCTATACACCTTATTGGTGGGTTAGCTCTCTACTTTTCTAGGGGCAATAAATCCTACCCATCTGCGTCACACAAATGACGCCACTTCCTTCTTTCTCTCGTGCTTGCTTGAGGTGCTTTGCCTCTCTTCTTTTTTCTCTAGTTTTCAATTCTCCTAGCCAGCTGGATGTTGAATGAACCATGAGTTATTGATTGAGCCAGATTGGGACCTTCTTCCCTTTGATTAGGAAAGCCTAGAAACCCCTTTGCACTAAACCCATTCAAGAAGATAATCTAACATCCTTAATCGAGAGTCTTCTTAGACCGAGGTCTAAGATGTAATTAACTACGGGGGCTTGCGCCCGTAGGAAACCGATCCCACAATCAAATAAACCCCATTCGAGCTGATGTATCGAATGGGGGAAATCTCGTGAATTTAGGGTTATAGATATTATTATCCATCGAGGTGCGTAGGTGAAAACCCGCTATCCTCCATGGCTAATCGTATCTATAACTTCATCTGCTCTTCCATCGGCCTGCTTGTGTCGATTGTAAAGGCCTACGATCATTTTGTCCTACGGGATAGTGTGATCGTACCCTTTGCATTCGAACCACACGAGCGGAACCCTTTCGGAGACCCACAACATTTTTGATCAAAACTAATCTACCTCCAAAAAATAGAAAATTAGAAAACCAATACAAGAGTTTTCTCTGGAAAATAATAAAAATGTCTTCAAAAAGTTGATTCTTCTTTTTACCTTCATAAATTGGAGTACCTAAATACTTTATGGGTAATTGCTTAGATTAGAAATCACAAATTCTTTTGATAGCATTAGTTCTACTCCGATTAATTGAGTTACTAATAATAAAGGTACTTTTATCCTTATTAATAGCTAAACCACTCATATCATAGAATTTGACAAGGAAATTACTCAATACTTTAATGTTATTAATATAACCATTAGAAAATAGAATAAAATCATTAGCAAAGCTAAGATGAGATATCAGGAAACCCTAATAATATAAAAATTAAGGTTCGAGTTTCTTAAATATAAACCATCCAGCCCCCCTAGAAAGATATTTCACCGCAATAATGTAAAGGGCAGGATAAATAGTATCACCTTGTCTTAAACCTTTAGAAGATTTAAAAACCCATTATTCCTACCATTAATGATTATAGAGAAATAACAATTTTCAATACTATTCATAATAAAAATTATGAAATAATCATAAAACCCAAATAAAGACAAAACATTGTAAAGGAAATTCCAGTTAAAATTATCATACGCTTTAGTAATATCAAGTTTCAAGATAATCCCTCTTTAATCTTATTATTAATATCATACGTAAGCTCTTGAGCCAAAAGAACATTGTCAAAAATACTTTTGCCCTTAACAAAACCAGTTTGATTATAAGAGATAATTCTAAGAATAATATTAATCAGACTATTGGAAATTATTTTAGAATTGAGTTCGTTAAAAAAAGAACAAAGACTAATCAGTTTGAAACCATTCCAATTAATTGCCCCCTCTTTTTTAGGGATCTGAAAAATATTAGTTGAAGAGAAGAATTTAGGATAAGTATTACCATAAAAGAAATCTTTTACCGCTTCAATCAAATCCAACTTGACAATATTCCAAATTTTTTGAAATTTTTCTTTCATGAAACCATCAGGACTAGCAACAGAATAACCATTCATATCATTAATAACATTTAAAATCTCAGTTTCAGAAGGAATTTAACAAAGAGAATTATTGTCATTATCATTAATAAATTGAGGGATAACATAAGGATTAATTATAGGAATAAAACTACTTTGAATATTAAAAATATTCATGAAATGATCAACTCCAGACTTACAAATCAATTCATCCGAGTCAATTAAGCTACCATCATTATTAACAATTTTGTGATTCTAGCTCTTAATTCTATTCTTATTGGCCAAGGCTTGGAAAAACTTAGTGTTCCTATCCCCCTCAACAAATTCGGCATTAGACTTTTTCCTCCAAAAAGTTTCCTCCTGGAGCTGCAACTAAAAGAGATAGTCCTTAACAAGGTTAAGGTAGTTAAGATTATTGAAGTTAGGATTATCCGAGTAAATTTTGTCCAAATCAGTGACTTTAATATTAGAAAAACTATTCCTAAAACTATTTTTATTCCACCATCTCAAACATTGCTTAAGTCTACTCAGCTTAGACCATAATCTTAACATGCCAATGATATTATTATCAAGGTACACAGGAGAATTAAAATTAGTATGAACCACATTCATAAAATTGGCAACTTTATCATGATTGGAAGAGGAGGTATCAACACTATTCATGATAATCTCATGATTCACAGCTATAGAATCCAAAGTATAAGAAGGTATGAATTCACCTTCTTCACATTCCTCATTGGCACCATCCATATTACCCACTAAATCAATATCTTCTACACCATTACCTTTGGTATTAGAAAGAAAAAAAGGATTAGGTAATTTTGGATTTTTCGTATCATTGAACATAGAATCAATAGAAACAAAGGTATTATGATCATTTTCAATATCATTGTTCATAACATTCAAATTATTCTCCTCCTTTTCAGGCAAAACTTCCATTATGTTTTCCTGAATATCCTCATTATGACTAATCACATTATCCAGCTTATCCATATGGATCAATTCATTGTTATCCACAATATGCACATATTTTTTTTTTGGATTGCACGAATTATAGAGGTATTAAGTATTTAAACGAGAATTTGGCTTTTAATAGGACACAATGGAGAAAAAGGATTCATGTAGCCGACCCCACGTAGTGGGATAAAGGCTTGATGTTGTTGTTGTTGTTGTTGTTGTGGATCCAGGCTTCCCACTAGACGGAACAGCCAATTTTTTTAACTTCGGATGCAGCCTAAAACATTCAGTTTGAGCATGGCCATGGACTTTACTGCGAGAACAAAAATCAGGCACTTTTTCAAATTCAACTTTTTAAACATAACTGAAAGCTTTTGATCAAACCCATACTTCCTTTGCATGCTTCTTAGTGATATCGACCTCAACTGGAACTCTAGCCACAGACGGCCAAGTCCTAGATGTAGTCGCCTAGCGGTCTGGAGAGGTCTCCCAAAAATCAAACCCAAAGCATGCGAAACTTTCAGATTGCAGAAGTGAAGAAGCAAATTAGGAAAAAAAACTAGATCGGAACAATCGGGGATTCTTCCTTAATATCAAAAAACGGGGTGCATTTCAAAATACGCATTTAATAGTTATAGATGAAATAAGAACGGCTAGCAAAAACTCTACTGTAATCAAAATTGTTGGAGAGCTGTATAGAAACATGCCGAGAATCGAGTAATCTGACAGAATAAAAAGTCATAAATTTTAGAGTAGCAAAAAACGGGTGTATATTATCAAGGTTAGGTCTACATAATCTGAATTTACCAACCAACGTAAATTTAAAAGGGGATGTTAGTTTAAGAACTTCATCATCAGATAATAGAATAGCCGGAACCCCATTGAAAATCGTTTGAGTTAAGGCTGGAAGAGCATCACATGTGGAAGAGCTACCCGAGAGTACCTCTTTTAATGAACGCGGTCGAGAAGGCGATTTCAAACCATCGCCATCCAGATTAAAGAAGCATTTATTCTTATTCAGCACATGCTTAATAGCATTTCCCCACGGGGTGGAGGACAATGCTCTCGCCATTAGAAGCTTGCCCAAAATGGTCAAGAAACCTAGAGAGGGAACCCAAAACGCTTAGATCGCAAAACGAACTAGTGAAAATGAGAGGAAAAATAAAAAAGATGAAAAATGAAAAAAAAAAAAAAAAAAGCAAAATATAGACTTCTGTGAAACTAATAAAAATAAAAATAAGGAGAAAAAAAAGTTAAATAGGATCCCCAAATAGATGATAATCCAAGCCTCATACTAGCAAGATGAGATATATTTCTTTAGAAGTATCTTTTCTTAAAACAACTACCTAAAGATAGTCATTTTATGAAACTAGCAATATTTAATGTTTAAATCCTCATTTTTTTTAGTGAAGTATTTTTTTTTTGCATCTTGATAGTTGCATTAAAAATTAGAACTCAAGGACAACTTCATAGATCATTATTAGTCTCAAAAACTTATGATATATTTTTACTACTAGCATATATCTACTTTTTACAACTAACATGATAATTTGTATTAAATGGCTTCCAACACATGCGAAGAAGTTTGTTAGTATGGGTTAATTATAGCTTTTGTTTTTTTAACTATAACCTCTAGTTATCATGGTAGAATAGCTATCAACTATTATAAATGAATCATAAGACTGAATATGTATATAGGTAACAATACTATACAATTACTCCTAAATTATAAAGGATATGCACCCTATTAATAAACAAATCAACTTAAAAGTTTTTCTTATAATCTAATAAATAATCGATGATAAAATTGTGAATTAATTATAAATTATCGATGATAAAATTGTCTAAACCTAACTTTTATATTGAGTATTTCTCATATTTGTGATTTTCTAATGTACATTAACTACTTTTGTCTATTTTATACATTGTGGACAAAAGCATTCAACCTTATTCAAGTACATCTAGATTCAAATTAACTGAAGGTGGATTAATGAATATTTCAACATCCTATTGCTGTAAGATGTTCAGTTGGAGTAGGTGTGAACAAAGGAATAGATCCTTATATTTTCATAAGCAGATAATGTTCATTAAATAAAATAAAAATTATAAAAAAAGCTTGAACATTTTCTAGCACATAACAGGCTAGCTACATCTAGCTATCTATGTAAGCTACAAGTATGGAGCAAGAAAAAACATCCTCTTATAAAATAAAGTCTAAGAAAATAAAATTAGTAACACAAACTTATAATTCTTTATGATTATTAAATACAGTTTAATCTCAAACAAATACAAACATTTCACGATTAAACATATATTTGTTCCTTATTAAAGAAATCCTTTAACAGTTCAGTATTCCATAGATATTTGAACTGATAATCATGCACATAAAATTGCTTCCTAGATGTAAACAACACATTCAGGAACACGGACTATTAAGTAAAAAGATTAATAATGCTACTACTTTTAAGGAATTGAATCAATTAATAGCCTTTCCACATGGACTGATCCACTTGCTGCTGTTGCATAGGATCGCCATGTTTGGACTCATGAGTTGCAAAGAATATTGGGTCACCTTGCCCAACAAAGGAGTTCATGCTACATCCCGTATTTACTGCCTCCATTGGTAATTGGTAATTGCTGAGCTGCAATGCCTTTAGCATAGCCGGATTCGCCACGGAGTTTGAGCTTAACAAGCTTGATGTCCATGGAAGAAAGGTCTGACCTGCATTTTCAGATCGGCCATACAACCAGTTCATGTAAAGGTTCAAATCTATCTTATTTCCATCATTATTATTGCAGGCATTGCCATTTGCATTAGAACTGACATCATTTGCTTGAACTAATAATGGATTGAATGGCCCTGAGGAATTGGTAAGATTGTTCAAGATGGATGCGTCAATCTCACCAAGCTCGCTAAGCGAAGTGGTGTTGCCTGGAGAGTGGAGCAACATTGGCATGGAAGGGGAATTTGCGTGGTGCTTCTTCATATTAAAGTTGTTGCTCTTCTTGAAAACCCTACACACGACCCATTCTTCCTGTGTAAAAGTAGTCATGATTAATAAGCAAGTGCTAATTATTTAATCATCGAGCCTAATTTATTATTAGGGGATTTAAATTACATTCATATAATTGTATATATATATATTTACATAGCTAATACTCAAAATTTTAATACTTCAATTTATCATGTAACAGTTAAGGAGAAGAAAATGTGATGAGCTTACTCATGATAATGATAATATAGTAAAGACGAGTTGGTTCAATGTAAATTATTACTACCTTTGAGGGTTTGTAAGGGAACTTTGTTTGTTGCCTGTACTCATGCATGACCCAGCTGGTCTTCTCACCCTTGGGCGCCCTACCCTTGTAGAAAACTAGGGTTTTCTTCATTCCAACCAAAGAACCATAGTGGAAGATCTCCTTGTCTTTACCTGTGGTCTTCCAGTAGCCTGCGTGTGTGGCTCGATTTGTTCGCATCCCAGTAGGGTATTTTCGATCTTTCAAGCTAAAGAAATACCACTCTTTCTCCCCCATACTTGCCTTCCCTGCAAAAATCGCTTCAAATATGTTATCACTGTTGCTACTCTAGCTAGAAGAGAAGAAGAGGAAGAGAAATCAAATTAATAGAATTGATGCTCAACTCCAATTTAATTAGAATTTTCTTGATTAATGAATTACTTATTTTATCATTTTCATATAAATATTTAAATTTGCAATTCTCTATGATGGAAAGGCACATATATAAAAAAGAATTCAAATCTAAAAATAATAATTATGATAAAGACAAAGAACTAAAATATGAAATTATCTAGAATTGTTAAATCTGAAAACCTGGGAGGTCCCAAGGCTCGCACTTGTTGAGATCGACATCAACGATGGCTTTCGTGACAAAGCCGAAATTAGAGATCTTGTGAGTCAGGTAGTAGTTGATGAGCTCCTCGTCGGAGGGATGGAAGCGAAAACCAGGAGGAAGGCCCTCCTCCATGTCCATGGATGACAGAAGGAAGGAGATGAAAGACTGTGACAACTTTGTAGCAGGAGAATGGCTAGCTAGCTAGCAAGCTACATGCATTCCAGAGCTAAGTATGGTTAAGGGGTGCTCTCCATATCTATTTCATAGGGAGGCAACTCGCAAGTCCTCTTCTAGATCATTTACACATCTTATCCAAATCAAAGAAAAATATTTGCCCTTGAGTGAGGTCAGGAAGTTATCCTAGGACTTTGGTTTTACAGCAGTATTGCAACAGGAGAGCTGTGAGGAAGTGAGGAGGAGAGTGAAAGGGAAGATTGCTAATATTAAGGCAACATATAGGATGGAAATTAGAGTTTGTTCTCAGTCAAACCTAACTCCAACCATTTCTAACCACCGGTTTTGCCCCTCGTTTAGTGCTGGGAGGCACAATGGAATCAAGTGGTGGCGAGAATAAGACAAAGAAGACCTTGTGGATATGTAGTAACACCTAACTCTTAGATTGCTTCAACAAGGTTTATCATTAATTAGTAATACGTAGTTAGGCTTTTAATTATTGATTAGTGAGCACTAAGAGACAATCATCTGCAGCCGAACCAGTGGGAGTTGAATAACTAGGTATTGCTATTCTGTTTTATTGATTACGCTTTATTTTATAAAATTATTTTAAATTAAAGAGGATTTTTATTTACTTTTCAGAAAAATTTTAAAAATTAAAAATCAAATGAAACATACATAACATCTGCTACTATTCTCCTTGCTTTTGGCCAGTGGTGGTGGTTGTGATAGTGCTCCAGTAAGCTTAATCTTTGGTGCGATTTTTAACGGAAACAATTTGGAATTTGATTTTTTTGTTGTTAAACTGACCATAGAATGCTAACCATTCAAGCCAAATGCACTGTTGGAAGAAATTAAAGAATATATCTGTAATCGTCTCTTTAAGAAATGTAATATTTTATCAAGCTCATTCTCTTTCATATTTCAAGGCATCACTAATCGTCCTAAACAGCTCTCTCGCAATTACGTTTTAGTTATGACTACTGATTTTAATTGTATCGGTTGCTCCGAAAAATAAAATTATGGCTAAGGTTTAAATATCGTCTAAAGAAAGGAAAATAGTATTAAAGTTCTAAGAGAAATTCAAAAGAAAACTGTTAAAATGATATACAGATTAGATGAATCATACTGCTTAGACAGCTTAGTGTAATATGGCCCTTTGTTTTTTTTTTTTTTTTTGATGTACTGAGTCGATGGCCAACTTTTAATTATATATACCAACCAATTTAATGTTATTATTGATAAGCAAGCCACAATTTCTAAATAAAGCTGCCAAGATAGAGAAATTATTACGTGCAGATTACAGACATAGCTCTACGTCCAGATTCCACTGAAATCGTGACACGTTTATTTTACACATATTTTTTTAATATATATATTTTATAGCTTGTGACCCAACGACCTAGCCTAACAAATTCAATTTGCGCTTGTTTTTAAGTAAATAACCCGCAAAATGTCCCAAAATTTTAAAGTTTAATTGGAATAAACTTTTGATAATGATCGAGAAAGAAAAATGAGAAAAACAATAAAGATGGAAACTAGTTTGAAGAATGTTGTATTCTTCCAAGAGATGACGTGCTGCAGGTTTCAACTTATCGGAAGATTTGAAACTCCTTTCAAGTTTTATTATATTTCCTGTAAATGAACATTTTACTGACTTTAGCTTTTTCAACAGAGAAAATAATTGTAGAAGCAATTTCAACATAACAGTTTTCACCTTCAAGATAGATCTACTTCTCAAACATGCCCGGATGCTTTAATGAAGAATTTTTATTTGAGAATGTATTCTTCAATTATTTAATTGTCGAATGCCTCAAAAAGACACGCTTCTATAAATAACATATGTAAAATTTTATAGAAAAATAATAATTTTTAGGAATTTAATTAATTCTTTCATTTTTTTTGAACTTGTACACCGTCGTGTCTATAGAAGATTATTTTTTGATTTTTTATCTCGTTACACAATGTATGGACTGTGTATTACATTTTAGAAGTTAGGATTAAAAGATATTAATGATTTATATGCTGTTTTAATTCATTTTGGGATGTTTCTTGAATTGTTATGTTCTGTGTATAAAGAGTTTATTCTATTTTTTCACAATTCACATTTTGTATTGACTGTATATTGAGTGTGTTACATTTTAAAAGTTAGGATTCAAAGATATGAATCATTTATGTGGTATTTTTGTTCATTTAGTGTATATTAGCATTGTAATAAGTGTGTATTAAGCATTTATTAAGTGTTTATTTATTGTGTATTGAGTTTGTATCAAGTGTGTATTGAGTGTGTATTGATTATATATTGAGTGTATATTGAGTATGCATTATCATTCTTTGTCAACATTAATTTTTAGCCATACCAATTCCCAAAATTATTAATGACTATGTATTGAGTATATATTGAGCGTGAATTGACTGTTATTGAGTGTGTATTAATTGTGTATTGACAATATATTGACCGTATATTGAGTATGTATTAATTGTATATTGAGTGTGTATGAACATCAAAACTAATTGAAATCAAATCTTTTCACCAATTTTGTCTAAAATAACTTTATCCAAACGCGCTCCAAACTTTAAAAAGTAATATTAATACAAAAAATGAGTGTATTGACTTTGTAAAAATACTCTGTACACATTAAATACACAATCAATATACACTTAATACACACTCAATACACATTTAGCATACACTCAATACACACTCAATACACAATCAATACACACTCAATATGATATCAACACACAATCAATACATACTTAATACACAGTCAATACACACTCAATAGACAATTAATGCACTCTCAATACAAACTCATTATACAGTCAATACACACTCAATAAATAATTAATAAAACTACAGGAAATTCAGCTATTACCGACGGCCTAGACCGACGGTTGTCTAGCTACCGATAATAACGGCCGTTTAGCCAGCAGTGGCCGCCGGGTTATACCGGCGGCCTAACCGAAGGTTATTCAAGCATATGCCGACGGAACTAGTAGCGGTTATAACACCACCGGATTAACCGCTAGACTTAAATATGACTAGCAATATACAGGCAGCTAAAATTGCCGGTGTTAAGTGATTTTATTACCGGTGGCGGAAGCCGCCGGTAAAAGCCCTAAAATGAACCAGCCCGAGCCTCCCATTTCATTTCTTCTTCTTCCCTCTCTCTCTTCGCCCGTGCTCCCTGTCTCCGCCGCCCGCCTCTCGCACGACCGAGCTCCCTCCAGCCACCGACGACTTGTCTTCGGCCGTCGATGATCACATTGTCCGCCCTCAAACTCCCATTGCAAGGCCGCTGACGAACACACCGGCCGAATCCCGTGCACGACGCCGTCTCCGAGGTGAGCTTTTTTTATATGTTTTTCATAAAATATTTGAATGTGGATGTTCTCACTAGGCATTTGCAAGAGGTTGTACTGTAGTGTATGCTTTTTGGTGATTATATTCTTCTTGTTGATAAGATTAGAGAGGAGTGACTAAAATTTTTATCTTATGTGAGTGATGACCCAAAATTTAAATCCTAGCATTTTGAACTCATCAAATTCCCCTTAGGTTTAATTGTGAATTTTCTAAGTAAATGTAACTATACATTAAAATTTTCATTTAATTATATCTAAATGTGAGAGTAGACAAAAATAAGTTGCAAACTAACCATTGATAATTTATCGGACAACACGCAAAGTACACATTTTAGATATTTTGGATCTTTTGTTCAGAGTGATGGTGAAATAGATGGGAATATTATTAGTAGAATTCAAGTTGGATGGTTGAAGTGGAGAAATGCATCTGGTTTATTGTGTGATAGAAAAGTCCCCATCAAACTTAAGGTAAAATTCTTTAAGATGGTGGTGAGACCCGTAATGCTTTATGGTGCCAAATGTTGGCCCTTAAAAGATAAGCATAATACTAAGTTAAGTTTTGCAGAGATGAGGATGCTTAGGTGGATGAGTGGCTTGACCCTTAGAGATAGGATACGAAATGAGCATATACGTGAAATTATTGGAGTAGCTCAAGTGGAAGATAAGATTAGAGAGAGTCACCTTAGATGGTTTGGTCATATTAAATGGAGGCCTTCCGATGACTCGATTAGGAAAGTTGCGGTATTAGATTTGGCTTATGTTAAGAAAGTTAGAGGTAGACCTAAAAAGACTTGGTTAGAAAATATTAGAAATGATCTTTCTTTATTAGATTTAGATGAAAATTTAACTTTTAACATGACATAATTGAGAAAAATGATTCATGTAGCCGACCCCATATAGTGGGATAAAGGCTTGATGTTGTTCTTCTTGTTGTTGTTGGTATATTCCTGTTTATGCTTATCTTGACTATGTCTCTCATAGTGAGTTTAACATTTCCTAAAGGTGTTATGAATGAGTCATATTTAGGAAAGATCTTTTATCTGATTTTGTGGGCGTAGTTGTTTCCAGCACCTCAAATCACTCAGTTTTTTTGTTGGATGGGCTTAGTTGATCTAGCATATTATAAAGTTCCAAGAGAAGTGCTATGGAGAGTTCTTAAAAAGAAAGGAGTTAATAACACTTATATTCAAATCATTAAAGATAGATATGTATGCATGAGCTTTTACTTGTGATCAAACACAAGGTGGTTTGACCAAGTACCTTCCTTATTCGGTTGGATTACATTAAGGATCAGCCTTAAGTTCATATATTTTTTTGCTTTAGTCATGAATGTTCTCACTAGACATTTGCAAGAGGATGTACCTTGGTGCATGCTTTTTGCTGATGATATTCTTCTTGTTGATAAGACTAGAGAGGGAGTTAAATGTAAACTTGAATTATGGAGGTCAACTTTAGAGTCTAAAGGTTTTCGCTTGAGTAGATATAAAACTGAATATATTGAGTGTAATTTTAATGGAAATAGACATAGTGAGGGGAGTGTGACTTTGGGCGATCAAGTCATTAATAAGATACAAGCTTTAGATACCTTGGTGCATGCTTTTTGCGTATAGCATATACACTTATTAAGGTTTACACATGTGTTATAATAAATTTTTTCATAACTATATAGAGAGACATTTGATTCAGCATACAAATAACTATCCAAGA